AAGAGGTAATTGTTAACTGGCACAGTTGAAGGAAGCTGCAAACTATGGTGATGTATTGTCTTCTTAAACCACTCTCCATCTTCAATTCATGATGTAACTTCTTTTTTACTTGACCTGTTTTTCTTATTAGTTTACGGAAGCACCGTCTGTTAATGTATGTACATGAGTGTGAATATAGTGGATATTTTACTTATTAATATTGTTTAATTTCTTTGTCTGATCATTTAATTCAATGTACATTGAAACCATATTTTGCAGAGATCCGGCCTCTAAGGCCGCTTTTATTTTATTTTCGGCCATGTAGGTCATAATTCGAGATAATACGCTCGACTCGGACATCATTATTCTCTTTGACGTTTCATCTCCCATAACCTCTCTTTCCCACATAAAACCATGTGTGGGATGAAGTTTTATTGAATAAAACACGTCTTCTCATGAGAGCAAATATTGTTCCAACAAGTGAAAAAGGTGAAATATTCGCCAACTGTTTATCAAAGTTTTTCTTGTCAATATGATTAACTTTAGTAAGAAAGTAACTCTGATCTGCTTCAACATTCTCCATTATGCCATCTAATATCTAGATTGAGATCCTTTAGTGAAGGGTTGAAGGGACTGCTCCTACGCCATGTATCCATTTCCGACCAAGCAACAAATTTTAATTCGCTTTGGTCATAATAACCACTAACAACGTTGGTCTTGTGTTTGTTCCCACAATAATGTCAACCTGAATGACCCCGAGAGCTTTGTTAGTTTTGCCTTCATAGTTCGATAGGACCATGTTATAAGGTCTCATATCAGTTTTGTATTTTCCAATTTTCTTCAGCAAAGAATGTGACATTAAATTTATTGCCGACCCTCCATCCACTAACACTTTCTTGAATCTTGTGTTCTTCAACTTTAACGCCTCACTCCTTCTTCTCGGTGTTTCTCTCCTATCCTTTTATGTAGAATTCCTCCTTGTTGACCGCCTCTGCTAATAAATAGGCTCACTTTTGGGTGAAAGATTCATTGAAGTGTCTCACATTGAGACCGTTTTAGAATGTCCCTACGAACACCTCTTTGTTCGAGGGAACAACCCTTATGGTAGCTTCGCTGAAGTATGAGTAGCCCCTTAACGACTTTATGGGATCATATCATATGTTGAAGAGGTTGGTGGTGAACATATTTATGTATCTGCTAGCGAAAAACTGATGTACTTCTTCACCATCTCCTGATTGCAGGGGATGGAGGCTCGGGACAGGCCCGTATACTATCAAAAGGTTGCGTCCTTGAAGGTGCCATACATGAATTTTCACTTCAAGGAGTTAGGCGATCCGATGATAATAATAAGGGTGTTGATGGAGACAACGTGTTCATAGGGATTACTACACCCATCAAACATTGATAAAAAGAGAGGCTTGGACCCTTCAGGGACATGTGCTTCCCATGTTTCATCTGAAAGTGGTTAGGAATCTAGCACCTCCATCTCCTCTAGAAGATTGGTCTCTTGTTGGTACTACTTGATGTTAAGGACATTGTCCTCCACCTCCTGATTCTGACGGTGAAGTTCATCCATGGCGGCACACATCTCCACTAGGGAATTTACCACCAGTGTCCTCTAGCGTAAGGGATGAAGCTCTCCTTTTAACCATGGCTAAGAATGGTCAGGTACATCAAAGAAGGGTGATAGTGAGTATGGTAATTACAACGGAAGGTGTAACCTATGTTAGTTTTACTAAGGTCTCAAAGCGGGCGCCATCGTACTTGTTAAAAAGTACATGAGTGCATAGTATTTCTATGCGGATAGGGGATACTCATAGACCTTATTAATTTATGGTGGTTAAAGCTTGCTCACGGTGGTGAAAGATCTAGTTTGGTGATATTCACGGTGGTTAGAGAGGGTCAGCTCACGTGAGGTGAGAGACCGCATGTTTTAGTGTTGTGATGGGTAAGTTGTGATATGTCTTTTACTTCTAAGGAGTAAGGTATTTATATATGATATTGGACCTAAGATTTAAGAAACTCTAAGAGGTGGTAACCACTATCCCTTGGCTGGGGAAGATTGTTAGACCTATTTACTAGGGAGTCGTGGTATGACTCAGTTTATGTGACTAGTATCTAGATAACTATATTGGACATGTCTATACTAAGGACGAGCTCATTCATGCTGCGTAGAAGTAGTGCCCGAGTGAAGCTTTATGAGACAAGACCCTTGTGTCGCTCTTATTTGAGACTCAAAAATATATCACTGCAATACTATTTTGAATGAAGGTTATTATTGTTTTTGTTTTTAATTCTATATTTTAATTATTGTTTTTTATTTCTTTACTAATTTTTATAATTTAGAAAGATTTGCTTTGGTTGGGGTCGTATAACTTTTTTATTTTATTTTACATTTTGTTATAATTAAATACTTTCTTTAAAGGAAATACTTAATTACTTAAAATATGTGAAATTTAGGATTCAATAATATATGTTCTTATAGTATTGGTGAAAACTAAAACGTGTTTAATAGACACTTGTGTCAATTTCTATTTACAAAAACTCAATCAATTTTTATTTTAAACTTCTTTGCTTTAATGAAAAACTACCCTAAACAATAAAGACCTCATTTTGAATTGATCAAACAAATCTTAACAAAATACAAGATAAAAATATATTCTAAATTTAAATTCGAGACAAATTAAATTGATTTTTTAGTTTAATTTTAAAATTTAATAAATATTTTTCTTTTAAGATAATTCTATTCAAGTACTTCATATATTTAATACAAGTATTTCTCTCAATCTTGTTTTAATTATTAATTTATTACGTATTAAGAATAAGCATGACAATGGAGTGGGTCGGAGACAATTTTTATTTCTCAAATATGAATCTCCAAACAATCTATGTTTTCCACCTCAAGTCCAAACGAATATGGAGAATTAAAATTCAAATTTGTCCTAAATCGATTCGTGTATCTCCTCTTTATCATCATCCATTCAATAAATCAATTTTTTAATAAAAATATTTATTTTTTTCAAAATCAAATTGCATTATAAATAATAATAAAACAATTTTTTTTTTTAAAAATTGCATTCATACATTTCAAATATTTTAAATAATAAATACAAATTAAAATATCAAAATATTGACCACATATTTTATATTTTAAATTATAAAAAATAAAAAATAATGTGCATAATAAAATAAACAGAGTGAGTACGAGAACAGATTCGGAGTAGGTACCAGTGTCCTCATTACTCGATCCATCCCCATATTTTATAATTGAGAAAACCCAAACTCATACTTAAACCTAATCAAAAAGAGTTTTCTCCGTCTACTATGTTAACATGCCTACTTAGGAGTTTAATTTGTCTCATTGATAAATTAGGTTTAAAACACACAAAAAAAAATGCAACAAATATGAATAAAAGTAAACTAAACTTAAATCAAAATAGGACATAATCCAATTAAACATCATTTAAAAATATATTATTTAAATATGAATAATTATACACTAAACTTAAATCAAAATAGGACATTATCTAATTAAACAGAATTTTTAAAATATATCAATTAAATCAAATATGAATAAATAATATAATAAAATCAAAATAGAAAATCATCCAATTAAATATAATTTTAAGAGATATATTTTAAATAAAATATCAATAAATAATAAACTAAAATTAAATCAAAATAGGATATTATCCAATTAAACATAATTTTAAAAATATCTTAATTAAATCAAATATGAATAAATAATAAACTAAACTTAAATCGAAATAAGATATTTTCCAATTAAACATGATTTTAAAAATATATTAATTAATCCAAATATGAATAAATAATAATCTAAACTTAAATCAAAATAGGATATTATCCATTTAAACACAGTTTTTAAAAAATATTAATTAAATTAAATATTAATAAATAATAAACTAAACTTAAATCAAAATATGATATTATCCCATTAAACATAATTTTAAAAAAGATAATAATCAAAACATTCTTATTTTAGCAAATTCATATTTTTTAAAGAAATATACTAGTAGAATAAGCCTAAAATAAAGATATACTAGATCTTCTCAAATAAAGAAGAATTTATACTTGTAAATATCAATATTTAATACCTTGATTTACCTCTAAATTCTAAATTAACAGATATCTTTCCTATTCATGCATATAAGTATATGTATGAATATTTAGAGTTTCCTTGTATTTAATGCAAGTAAAATATATCAAAATAAGAAAGGAAGTTTCCAAGTGTCACGACCCCACCCAATGATCCAATCCAATACACACATATATTATACAAAACTAATGTGGTTTCACTCATTCTGCCAGCTCAGTTTATTCCTTAAACGGTCCAATTGTTTTTTTTTGTGTTGATAAAGGTATAATTACTATCTTCCGAAATTCAGACACAACAATAAGAATTTAAATTTAAATAAAAATATTTAACTCAATAATATTTATATTTAGAAAATGCTAACAAATGTCTAAAAGATATTCTTTAATTTTAAAGTGGTAAGATTTTTTTGAAGATACGTATATTCAATTCAATGTATTGAAAATTAAAATAATTAATTTTTATAAAAAATATTTTTTTATTTGATATCTTTAAAGTTAATTTGACTCTTAAAATAATAGCATTTTCCATAATAAAATATCTCATTCTAACTTATATAAATAATATAAAATAAATAAAAATCTTTGTGACGTCACTACATACATGTACTATATTTTCCTTTTTTCATTATCATCTAGAATAATAGATATAATAAGATATAAAAGGTGTTTTTATTTTGGTATAATAATAGTGGTTGTGTTAGTTTTTTTGACCCATCAAAAGGTAGTGGTTGTTGTTATAGTCAAATAAAATCCTAGTCAAATAAGCTTCTGCACAAGAAAAGCAACTACCTCAGAGATTAGACTTTTTTTTTCTCACACACCAACCAAGCAATCTTTTCCGTCACCGGAGAATCTCACCGCCGGCAACTACTACACTTCTCCGATTTCATGTTTTAATTCTAAGCATGGGGAATTGCAACGCGTGTATAAAATCAGATGTAATCGGTTCAGACCGGAAAACAACCGACCCGAACCGGGGAAAAAAGGGAAGAAAAACCAAACCGAACCCATACTCCGAGGAGTCGTTAAACTCATCAGCAACGATTCGTGTTCTGAAGGATTCAAATCCGCGAAATCGAATCGGAGACAAATACGTATTAGGCCGTGAGCTAGGTCGTGGCGAATTCGGTATAACGTATCTATGTACAGACAAAGAAACGAAGCAGGAGTTAGCTTGTAAGTCAATTTCGAAGCGGAAGTTGAGGACGGCGGTGGATGTTGAGGATGTTCGGCGGGAGGCGGCGATTATGGCGACGTTGCCGGAGCATCCTAATATTGTGAAGCTGAAGGCTACTTATGAGGATGATGAGAATGTTCATCTTGTTATGGAGTTGTGTGAGGGTGGTGAATTGTTTGATAGGATTGTTGCGAGGGGGCATTATAGTGAACGTGCCGCTGCGAATGTGGCGAGGACTATTGCTGAAGTTGTTAGGATGTGTCATGCTAATGGTGTTGTGCATAGAGACCTTAAGCCGGAGAATTTTCTTTTTGCTAATAAGAAAGAAAATTCTCCTCTTAAAGCTATTGATTTTGGCCTCTCCGTTTTCTTCAAGCCTGGTATTGTATTGTATTCAATTGTATTGTTTATTGTTAATTACAAGTTGTTTATGAGGCTATTTAAGTTGTTATGGTACCTTAGGGTTGATAACAAGTAAAAAATGTTAATGCTGCTATGTTTCTCTTGTTTTGGTAGTTTATTGAATTGTGCTGATGATTTTTGTTGTTGTTAATGAATAGGGGAGAAATTTTCGGAGATTGTGGGGAGTCCTTACTATATGGCACCAGAGGTTTTGAAGAGGAAATATGGTCCAGAGGTTGATATATGGAGTGCAGGGGTGATTCTATATATTTTGTTATGCGGGGTGCCTCCGTTTTGGGCTGGTATTGTTATTGTTTTTTATTTGCTGCTGGTTGTTTTTGTGTGTTTTGGTTGGGTGTGAGTGGTTGGTTACTTACTAGTTGAGTGGTTATTTGTGTGTGTTGAGATTTTTTGATTGGTTTGTGATTTTAGAGACCGAACAAGGGGTTGCTTTGGCGATTTTGAGGGGAGTCATTGACTTCAAGAGAGAGCCTTGGCCTCAGATTTCTGACAGTGCCAAGAGCCTCGTGCGTCAGATGTTGGAACCTGATCCTAAAATACGCTTGACTGCCGAACAGGTGCTTGGTAAGTAAGCTTGTTCTTTGTGGTTTCTGTTGTAAGTAAGATCATGTGTGCTCTGCTGACTACTAGTGACTCACTTGGTGGGAGAGTTTTGTGGTAAATTTATATTTAGAATATAGTTCTTTTTTTTTTTTTTCTTTCTTTCTCCCGTTTTTCCCAAAATAGTAGTGAACACTGAGGTGAAGATCATTTGGATGGTTAATTAATGACATACACTTTTCTGGTGTTGACCTTCATCTTCTCTTAATGCCAAGCATGTTGCGAGTTGTTTATCCATTTTTACACTTGGCTGGCTGAACTTTGCATCAGGTTTGTATATTTACTGTCCTTAATTATGGTTGCAGAACATCCTTGGCTACAAAATGCAAAGAAAGCTTCGAATGTTCCATTAGGAGATATTGTGAGGACAAGGCTTAAGCAGTTCTCGTTGATGAATAGATTCAAAAAGAGAGCTCTCCGGGTTAGCATCTATTCTGGTTTATGCGTAATAATGATCGAGTCAAGCTCTATTTATAAGTAGTAAGAAAGTTAAATGTTAGTGATTTGAATTTCTTTAAATAAATGCTACAGGTAATTGCAGAACATCTATCTCTTGAAGAAGTAGAAATAATCAAAGACATGTTTACATTGATGGACACTGATAAAAATGGCAGAGTAACATATGAGGAACTGAAAGCTGGTTTGCAGAAGGTTGGTTCGCAACTGGCCGAGCCAGAGATAAAGTTGCTGATGGACGTGGTAGGCTTCTGTAAAATTTATATTATTTATAGTGTAGTTGATCAATATAATTTCAGTTATTTGATTGTCACTAGATTATTTGACAATCCGATGGAGCTTGTTCTAACCGCTTTTTGGTTTTCTGCTGCACAGCTTTTTTTAATCATATTGCACGATTTCTTAAAAGAGTGAGAAGTTCTACACTTTTGTAATGAACATTTTATTATGCTCTCCTGGAATGAGATTTTCTCTTTCCCATTTAACATGTGTGGTGTGGCTACTTGATGCATGTAACTTAAATGTGGCTGAATTGATTATTCCATTTACTACTTTTGTTTTTCTTTCAAAAGATCTTCATCTTTGCAAAAGGAGCTTTAATTGGTTTTCCATTCATGCCCAATGTCCAGTGTACGAGGGATTGCATAATATCTGAAGATGTTTTTATTTTCTGTAAATTGCTTAGGCTGATGTTGATGGGAATGGAGTGCTTGATTATGGAGAGTTTGTAGCTGTAACGATTCACTTGCAAAGAATGGAGAATGACGAACATTTCCGCAAAGCATTCAAGTTTTTTGACAAAGATGATAATGGGTATATTGAGTTTAGTGAACTAGAAGCAGCATTAGTTGATGACATAGGAGAAACTGATACTAATGTACTGAATGAGATCATGCGAGAAGTTGACACTGACAAGGTTTGGCTTTCATTCATATGACTCATTGCTTTATTTTCTTTTTTACAGCTTCTTTCTTTACAAGTTACACTGTCATTGCAACATAAACAAAAGGAGATATCCTAGCATTTCTCTTAAAAAATGATCTGTTCATTTGATAGTACAATTATTTGCCTACTTCTCATGTACACCCAACAGTTTCCTCAATAAATGTTTATTAGAACATTTTTTCAAATTTCCTATTTTCACAGGACGGTCGCATCAGTTTTGAGGAATTTGTGGCCATGATGAAGACAGGAACCGATTGGAGAAAAGCATCCAGGCAATATTCTAGGGAGAGATTCAAGAGCCTGAGCATAAACTTGATGAAGGATGGCTCACTTCAGCTTCATGACGGGATAAGTGGTCAAGCTGTTGTGGTTTAAGTATAAGGATATTTCTTTCTTCAAAATTAGTGCTCGCTCAGTTTCCCTTTCTCATCCACCGCTTAATATTCTTTAGTATATGGTTTGTGTTATCTCTCCGTAAAAGCAATCAAGTTTTTGGAGTGTACTGACAACCTTGAGTTGGAGTGGAAGGGCTTAGATTTCTCAACTGGTTTGGTGTTGGATGGTTGACGCGTGCATTGGAGGATTGCATATTGGAGATTGTTTTATAACTTGTCAGTAAAAAAATTATGGAGGGATGGAGTCACATGCTGCATACCTCAAATGTCACATATTCATTGTATACTTATGTCATGTTTACTTGTGTTTTCATAATTTTAGTCCTGGCTTTTGTCAAGGAATACTTTGCTTCAACCAAAACTTTCACTTTGTTTGTAAAAATGCAGAATTCTTGGGCTTTTTTTCTTCTAAGTTATTACTTGTGTTCACAGGCTCTTCCATTTTAGTCTGTCCAAGGAAAATGAAGATTGAAGAGAAAGAGAAACATTAGTAACCATATTTGTGGTTTATTCTTGTAACTATTTGTCATCTGTGATCAAATACAATTGTGAAGATATCAAGATCAAGATGTTTCAGAATTTAGAAACATTTTTAGGAGTTAAACTTGAGCATTGACGTTACTCTAATAATAATACATGGACATAACAAAGTAGGAAAAAAAATCGTTCATTGATAGCTTAGACACTTGTTTTTGTTTTAAAGTTTGAAAGAAAATAAAAATAACAATTTTGTTGTTGTGCTAATACATATAGTTTTGTCAAGGATCAATTTGAATTTTGGCCGGATGTTAAATTTTCAAAAAATAAATATAAACCTGAAAATTATTACTCAATATTGTTTTATGCAGAAGTATAAAGGAGCAGAATCTAAATAAGAACAATGGATCGCATTTGTTACTATCTTTAAACTAGTTAGCATCTCACTAGAAACAAATGATGATTTAATTATTGCGACTTCCGAGTCACTGAATTTGTCTCGATAGCTAAGGGTGATTCCTATCATGGACATGGAAAGTGATTACGGAAATGTCGTTTTGGGCAGGAGGAGACATTTTTAATTTTATATGTGGAAATGTCAATTTTTTAGTTTATTTCATGGAAAGCTACATCATGAAATTAGAGCATCAACATCTTCAACCTTGCGATCATGTTTTATAAGGGCATCACCAATTTATCCCAAATTTGAACAGACAACACCATTTTCGTGTTCTCTTATTTTGAAAACGAAGAACAATAATGTGTTATGCAAATTTGTCTCTATTTCATAAAGTGTCTTATAATGAGACAGACGGCACAAACAATTTTGAAACTAAGGTTTATTATAGTTTTGAAGTAGCGATGAAACCTAATTATTGGTGGCAATGTTTCAGTCTTACAACAACTATAAATTTTCAGAAGCAATTATGGAGATTTAACACTATATGCCAAGTAATTTCAACCTAAAAGTGCGTATGAATTTAAGTATGTGAGTCTCATGTTTTTTGAATTATTGCAGGGGTCCATTAAAAGTGGGTCTGACTATTTCGACTAATTTTTTAATAAAGTAGAAAATGAAAAGGACATTTTCATCGCGAAGAAAAAAAAGAAAGTTGAAATTTTTAACAAAATCCATTGAAGAAATAGGGAAAAAAACTCATTCAGCATGAGAAAAAATTGAAGGAAAACACACAATTAAAGCACAATGTAACATCCCGGTTTTTAAAAGTGATTGTGTATTTTTTTTTCCCTTTTTAAACAATAATATAATATAAAATATTCATGTTGGTCCTTTTAAAATATAATTAGAGTAAAAACTTTTCTGTTTAATTTTTTTTAAAATTAGAGATAAATATGTTTTTCTTCCTATAAAATTATTAACTTTTGATTTTGGTCCCAGTAAAAAAAAATAGCGTGTTTTGGTTCCTATAAAATAATTATTCACGTAGTTTTAGTTTCTACTATTAAATCAATGTGAATTTTTAAATGATTATTTTGCATATATGTTTAGAACGTTATAAAAAGTTTTTCGAAAATTTGATTTATAAGTCGAGAATTTTATTACTTTTATCATTATTTTATAAAATTTAAAAAATTCATATTTAATTATTCTCATTTTAAGAAATTATATAATTTGATAAATAAATATTTTATAATAATCTAAACACATATGAACAAAATTGTTTAAAAATTTAAAAGTTTAGGGACAATTAAATAGTTTTCAAAAATTTTAAAAATAGTAAGGAATAAAACTGTATGTATAAAATTTTTGTAGGAAACAAAAGATGTGTTTTTTTTTATAGGGACTAAAAATGAAGCGTGTGATATTTAGAGGGACCAAAAATATATCCAACCCTTTAAATTACGATCAGAGACTTGCCATAAATTGTATTTTTCACAACTTCAACATACTTTTTTACAAATTATTTGACATTAAATAATAACCAATACAACAACATACTTCACAATAGAGTAAAGAGACAACACTAACATAAACTTTAACCCAATCTCGAACTGCTAAGAAATTGGGGCGTTCATCCAAATCCACAATAATAGTAGATGGTCAAAATCTAAATACATCATATATGAAAGAATACACACATGCAACTATAACATGATATATAACAATCACAACTTTTATTTCAACATATAAAGCAATGCACAAATAGCCTAGTACAGACTCTACATATATGATACGCCACATCAGACTTATCACATTTATAAGATTTCAAAATTAACCACTCCATAGTGTTGTAGGGAAACTCCTACTAATTTTGTGATCCATCTGATACACTCTGGGGTAACTTCCATTGATCACTAACCCACATAATTAGCATCAACTAAATAAATCCTGTAGGATAAAATGTGGCTCCATTTCTCAATAGCTATTTCATATTTTTATTCAAAATCATAAGAAAAGACATTCACAAATTTAGCATTAAAATGTAAACACATATCCCCAACTGGGCACGCAAGCATAACACATCCCCAATTAAGACACACAATCATGCATACAAACACACATGCACTCATTCACATATAAACTCGTCTAAAAGTGTCTTTGTAATTGCGAGTAGAACTATTATGCATCCGTTTTTACTCCAAGGATCGATCCTCGTGTCTACTCTTTCTCCTGATCGTAGCTTAAGTTTCACGAATTAGATTCCACACGGTCCTTAATAATCAATTCAATAAACGCAGACCATATAACACATCAAAATTCAAGTACCATGAAACATTAAAATACAAGCACTTACTCAACAAAATTATCCCATAAGTAATAAAGTCTATTTTAACATAAAGATTCAGTATTAAACCACCACGAATACCTATTTTAACATAAAGATTCGATATTAAACCACCACTCGGACTTAACAAAAATGATCAAATGATCCAGATCAACGATGAAAAGGAAATATAGAATCAACGACTAGATTTCTCCTGGGGAATGCAAGCAAACTCAAGTGCACTCTAGTGCGTTGTAAGTAGTCATGCTCTAACTAGTCACATCAAATCACGTGTTATAAGAAAGCAGTGAAACATTTCATTGATGGAAATGCATTTAATGTGATGGTTCCCCCGCTACTTTTTTAATTGACTTCAAGCGTTTCGTTTCCAATTCACATCAGACAACATTCTTAGAGGCCGACCTCGACTGCTAACGCCTTCCCCAACTCTCTTAGTTCCCGAAAAGTCTTGGGAGAATCTATTTTGGGCCGACCAAATTGCCAAGTAGCTAAGGCCCAATTCAACTCAAATCCACTCTACGAAAAGTAAGGTACACTTTTCTGATATCTGCCTTTCACTACAATCGTCTTTAATCTTGAATTGACTTGGGTGTTGGAGTGCTAATCTTGTAGGTTCATCCCGTGCTACCGTATCGAAGATAAGCACCACCGGTTAAGGTGTTGGAGTGCTAACCTTGCAAGTCCACCCCATGCACTCCAACATTAGCATTAAACTTCCAAAACAACATGCAACATAATTCAGAAGTTAACTTCCATACGCAACGTCCATTTTTAAACAACTCAACTAAATTCTTATAAGCAAAAAGGAATGTATACATTCATATTACGTTAAATTCCAACTTCTTTTTCTTTTTTGATGTGAAAAAATAGAATAATGTGATTTTGAAGTACAAAATTTGATTGAGAATACAAGGAGATTTTCGTAGGATTTTGAAAGAATGGTGTTATGGTCATGAAATAAAGAGTAAATGCAAGATGGTGTTATATTTATTTTTCCGCTTGGTAATTTCAGAAGTTAACTTATGTATTATCCACTAATAATACAAAAATAAACATATTATCATGAGTTTAAAATGTGTCCAAGAGTTAGTCCAAAACTTAATATGTTGCAAAAAAAATAGGGGTAATTGACTTACAAAGTGTATTAATGTGTATAAGGGCGTTCAAAATTTAACTTCGATTTTATTTCAAAGGCATGTTTTTTAAGAGTGACTTTTCACTATTAGGAATGAGAAGATCAACCCCCTATTTTGATGCCTAAATATAAAACCATCGTTATATAGCACCATACATTTAAACCTATGATCTTCATATGAACCACATCTAAATATAATGCAAAAAAAAAAAAATTATATTCCATACACCAATGTTTAATTCCCATCCAAACAAAACATACAAATTTTCAAAAACGCCCTTGAGATATTTAAGTATAAAATTTAATTCATTTCAAATTCTTAATTACTCTTGTTGCGATGAGACTTTGACATTGCAGAATGGAGATCAAATTCATTTAGCATTTGTTTGAGAGTTAGGAGTGAATGGGAAGAGAGAGCATCGAAAAAAAATTTCTTAAAAAAATATAGAAAAATTTTAAATATTTTTTGAAAAAAATATTTTGCTTAAGATGATGAAAGAGGGCTTATCATTAACATATTTTTAATTTTTGAAATATTATAACAACATAAATTATATTTAAACAATTAGTCTAAATCCTTCATTAAATACTGATCTGACCTGATCAGAAGGGGGTCACAGG